ACTTTCTTTCTTAAATCTCTCAGACGTTATTCTCAACAAAACAGAGTAATGGTGTCTTGAGGTGTCATTTTAGCTAAAAGACGCAATTTACCCTTACTTACACTTCAGTGCTCCTGCAATAATATATCAGCTGATCTGATCACAACAATTCTCAACATTTCCATTATAAGAACTGAGCAGCTACGGACCGAGGGTAGTGGGTTTTAGAAGTAGCTTATATGGATATGGAAATGTGCAAGTGTCTTGTACGTGCTTTCGAATAATCAATATAAATTCTTAGACTCTTCATAAATTCAAATTAGCTTCATGAAAAAGCGGAAATTTGAAGAAAATTGTCTGTCCTCCCTACCGAATGGAATTCTTCTGACCGCCCCAAAATCAAGATAGCTTGTACAACGAATTAGGTCAAATCCCACAAGTATCACTAAGTGCTATGTGCCCTCCATTTTCTTGGCATCTGTTCTAAACCGCGGACTCCGCACTATCGAGTTATAAATGGCCGCATAGATTGAGTTGCTCCAAAATTAGTTCATCATTTGAACTGGTCACCAGAAGTCTTAAAACGTTGATCGCTTTGCAATACTACGGCCGTGGTTCTTCTAACTTTCTTACAGGAACGCCGATTTCAAAAACCCCACGGTTTCCAGAACTAAACTTAGTAAATGGAAAACGTAATTCGTCTTTCAAACTGGGCAAAGTTTTTGCAACGTTCCGTTGCTCTTAGAATATTAAAATCAATTTCTTAAAGTAGTAATATATTTTTTGAGCACATATACGTATTGAAAACCACAAGATTGAAGGAAAATCGCATAATGTTCGCAGGCGGTGGTTGTTCAAAGCCCGAAAGCTTTCATGCTTTGCTGCACATGTTTTTCTTGCAAAATTTCAAAAGTAAATCGGAAGTATTGAAAGCAGTCAATGTCCGAAATTCTCTATTTGACTGATAACACTTCTTGACTATGTAGAATAAAAATGTTAAAAAACAGAGGAATTTAAGCAGAAGAAATAGTGGATAAAAAAGTTTAGCATTTATTTGAGCTTGGTTTAAGGATTTGGTTGAAAAACATGAACTCCAGAGAGCGAAGAAAAATTGCGTGGAATACGTTTTCGATCCTGATGCATAATATGAAATTCTTGTAATCGTTCGAAAAAAGGACAAAACTTTCCTTTGACAAGAATATTATGTACTTTTGAGTTCTCGTATCCTTATTATTGTACTTCGGCACTCAGAAGAATGAATGTCTGACGACATCAACAGTTATTACAGTGACGTATAACATAGCTTAGACATTCTATTCGCATTAATCTTAGTAAGGAAGATATGGTAAACTTGCAGTGCATGATGCTGTGGAGTGGGAGATAAGATCACTATCTATTCGCATTAATCTTATTAAGGAAGATATGGTAAACTTGCAGTGCATGACGCTGTGGAGTAGGAGATAAGATCACTATGAATGCAGGAGTGCCCAGAATAATGGAATTTGATACCTAGTCATTATTCATTCATTTGTAACGAGGATTTTCAAGAAGCTGTTAGCACATTTTAGAACCTCTTAGCCCTTGTAAGTAGGTAAGCTGCATTCTTTGCATGTAAGAGGACATCGGAGAAGTTTTGGCATGATGATGTTAGATAACGAACTTTGGCAGAGAGGAAAGGCACTTCGCTTAGAAAATCATTAAAGAAACTTACTTTGCAAGTCATATACCAAATAGATGTGAATGGAAATTGCCAGCTACTACTATAACAATACGTTAGTGATATAATTACGTATTTACAGGTGCGGCAAAAGTCTGAGCGACTAGTACTTTTCATGTTGAAAAAGGAAGTTCGTTTGCACGAAATATCTCTGGTTGTTGTAGGCTGAATGCACGCGAGCGTGCCTGCAACGCGGCTACCGAGTACAGGCGGTATGATGATCATGCGCGCGAATGCCAATGTTAGCCCGCCAGGGAGGACGTGCAGGATACTCCAAAAGCCCGCCGCTTCTTCTCCAGGCGCGCCCTTGGGAGGCAATAATCGCTTCGCGCCTACCTCGCGCTTGTGTCGCACTTGTCTCGCACGTTTCTGCGATAGTTCCCCTCCAGACAATCGCCTTGTTTCCCCTAGCATTAATTGGAAAGTTCACTGCCTGAACGAGGATTTCTCAATCATAACAAAAGATGAAGATGTGAAAGTTTCAGTAATTAACCAATGAATGTGAAACATTCGGTCACCTTAGCCGAGGTAAATTAGAAAGGTGGTTGTTTTTGTAGCGGAAAGGATCAACGTTTATCACTAACACGAAAGAAAATATGAGAATTAAGCTGACTGACAGGCAAATACATTCTACTGTGGCTATTAAGATATGGTTGATAAAAAAGAAGCCTCACCAGCGGAACCAAGTCATGGACATATCAGTGGAAATATACAACTTCAAAGAAACGTTGTACATCATTTTTTAGCAGTTTTGGGGCTGTACTCCTTACGGGAACCGATGCTTTAAATAGGTATGCAATTCAGCAGGACCAGAATCAGAGCAAAATTGTTGACGAAAATTCCTTTTAATTGGTTTCCCCCAAATGCCATGTTTGTGCGAAGCTTGATTAAAATACTTGTAAACATCCTACATTTAGCCTGAGGTCATCTGTACGTTTTCCGGTTCCTGGGCTACACTTCCATCGATAAATACAAAAAAGGCCATAACCTCCACTGGAGAAACCTTCGCAAATATAAGTCAGCATTTCGAGTTCTATACGTTGGTATGCTTCAACTTCCAAACTGCCACTTCGACTGACTGACTTTGTTGGCAAGAGACAATCAGTCTACTTTTATTATTGTTAGTTCCCACAGCTTTTTCTTTTCCTTGTTATCATTGAAAAATCATTGTTCAAGCAGTGACCTTTTTAATTAATGATAGGGCAAACAAGGCGATTGTCCAGAGGGGAACTATCGCAGAAATGTGCGAGACAAGTGCGACACAAGCGCGAGGTAGGCGCGAAGCGATTATTGCCTCCCAAGGGCGCGCCTGGAGAAGAAGCGGCGGGCCTTTGGAGGATCCTGCAACGCCGCCGCCCGCCAGAGACACGCGCGCGGGTGCTCATTCCGGGCGATTCCGTGCAGTCCACTATATCTAGAAACGAATTTGGTGCATTAGTAAACCATAACAAACACAGCTCAGGTCTTGAATTTCAAAGTTTTTTTGGCTTCCACGCAGCCCCTCAAAATCTTTCCAAGTCCACCTGTTATGGCACGCAGGTAGTTGTAATGCGATTCGCTTCACGTCTTCGCGGTAACTACTTCTTTCACTTGGCAAATGTGCAGCATGATAGAGCAAGCTTTGGGCTGCAACATGCTTTCAAGGAAATTTCTTGCAAAGTTTAGGAATCAAAATATTGCAATTTAAGTGAAGGCAGGGCATTGTACGTTGCATATTGGAATTTTGGTTACAATTGCGCAGGAAAACTGCAAAATTATCGTCTAAGAAGTACAGAAACTGTTCCATTGACCGTAGATATATGCTTATACACAGGATTCGCAAGAAATATGTCTACTCTTTGATCGATAATAATTTTCTTGTCATGAAGTTTTCGAAAATCTTGGTGCTTTTTTTAGAGCTAACTTCAACTTCAGCTAATTTACATATGGAGCAATCCTAACTCTCTTCATTACGTAGGATTATGGTAGGATCTCGCAGCATATGGTGCCACTGTAAAATGGGTCGTTCGAAGAAATTTTCAAAGAAGTCTGGAAAGTGTGAGGTTTTCATGGATGCTGATTTCACTTAGCTGTTTGCGCGTTTGCAGAGCTTTTTGGCATAATCAAGTTTTCAAAGAATATCAGAAATCGGACCTGTCCTAACTTATAGAAAGCGCAACAGTGAAGTGCGAGCTTCACATTTAAAATCAGCGACTTAGACTAAGCTAGTGTAGGAGTTTTTTCTTTAGTACTTTTCAACAGCAAAATATGACCCTTAATAAGGCAAAACCATCGTCAAAGTTTCTACCGTATTTACTAGTTTAAAAAGAATGATATCTCGCTCTATGCTGTAAATCTAAGTTGAAGCCAGCTCTACAAAATGGTACCGAAAACTTCTCGAAAGACTTTATGACAGGAAAGCTAATCTAAGTTGAAGGCAGATCTACAAAATTGTGCTCAAAGCTTTTCGGAATACGTCATGACAGGAAAGTCAATCTAAGTTGAAAAGCTGCTCTACAAAATGGTACCTAAGCTTTACAAAAACTTTATGACAGAAAGTTTTTTACACAAACAGTAGGCACATTTTTGGAATACACTGCAGAAGACATATTAAAATGTATAGCCTTGCACTTAGTGCCTGCTGCGCTTCCACAGGCTTATTTGTTCTAAAGACAGATGATCACTAGCACGCAGGTAACATTCGCAAACTTTTGTTTTCCGTTTCCTCAAGGATAGCTCCTAGCTCCTACTGCTATGGCAACGCAATGCTTCCTCTACATTGTTTGAGTAAAGTATTGTAAAACCAGCCGCTCATGCCGCTACGCGTCAGGTGCGGCTGGCACTCGGCAGATTCGCTGCCTCGTAAACTTTTCATAACTGGGTCCTGGAAAACTTTTTAGTGCACTTGCCATCACGCACACACGGTGATTCCGGGTTATGAATTCCGCAAAGTCGGCGCATCATCATTGTCGTAACTTCCGGAATGGTAGCGCTGATGAGGCGATTGACGTCGGCTGCTGTGCGAGGTTTCGAGTCGTTGTCCAAGATGAGAGGGGAGGCGTGTGTGGCAACCCTCGCTTTAGCCACTCGAAGACTGATACGTAACCTACGACGCGGCCGAGAACGTGTTGTGTGAGAAGTAGCTCCATGAGGGCGTCGAACGTGCACTTGTAAACTCTCGCGATCATGTCAGGACGGTCGGTGGCAGGCTGTCCTGGCTAAGGCTATTCTTCTTTCCCGCCATTTGGGGTTACATGTAAACATTATGAAGAAGTCCGGCTTGCCATAATTTGCGACAATGGTCATGGAGTCTTGCAGTCTTGTATCATAGAGCGTTGACTTCCTTAAATGGGGCTGGCAGGTTTCGCTTGCCCGGTGGTCCATTGCTACCGTTGTCAGTGGAGATGAAGTCGAGTAGCGACTGGTACGTATCCGCTCGAAGGTCGGCTTGATGAGTGCGGATGTAGTTGAAGCGGTTTTGCTCCGTCTTAACCCAACGAGCTTGCGTAAGTGGGCCTCCGTGATGAATCGGACTAAACTTGCCAGGCCTGACTTGAAGCAAGTAAAAGTAGTTCGACGAGCCCCGGGCTTGATCCCTCTTCTTCAAACCCGGGCTCCAGCCAGAATTTCCCCTTGGAAAAAATACCGGGTAGCAGAGGGATCGGCAAGATTGGAAATGTCTGAGATATTCTGAATTGCGTTGACATATTGATGTACGGCAAATTCGCGATGAGCGGGAACGTCACCGTCTTCGCCGACGTAAACAAAGCCTCTTCATTGGATCTAGGAGCGTTATAGCGACGACGGTCAAGGTAATGTTCCGTCTCGAAAATTGTAAAAACTGGCTCATCACTGCCGTTTTTTCTTGATGCAGCAGCTTCTTCTTCCCTAAGCACCTCGTCCATCATCTTATAGGATCGAGCGAAGGGATTAACAAGTTGTATCAGTGCACTTAACGATCGCATCACGTCGGGATCACATTCTCAGTTCGCACGGTGACCGAAGCGCTCCACGGTTGCTTGTGCCGTGTCCATGTACAGCTGGCCGTACGATCGCGTTGCCCTAGGGGCGAGATGAAGAGGACCGCAGTAGTGGTAGATTTGGCCTTGAATTTTGAAGACCAAGGGACCCTGACCGGAAGGCAAGTCGACTTTGGCACCCATTGATGCCATCGCCAGCGCAGAATTGAATGGCGTGCTTTGCGGCGGAAATTCCGGGAAGGGTCGTCGTTGCCAATGAAGAGCTGTTGCAACTCCGTAGGGAAATTGGCAAACTTGTCTTCAATAATGATGTTGCCAGAGTTGCAGCACACATCAATCTTATCACAGTCATTAGGGCTTCAATAAGAAAAAATGCGACGCTGCAATGGAGGCAATTAACATCCAATTTGCCAAGGTAGTGCTCAGTGACGGAAGGCACATCAGCAGGTAAACGTTGTTCATAATATCATTCACGCATAAAGGCAAGACGTCGATCTCGTGCAGCCGCTGTCTCATGGTTACGGCGAAGACGGCTACGCAAGTCTTCAGAAGTGCATCTTGCAGCAATACGGAATCGAGTTTTCTGTGCGATGTGCATCTGCGACTGAAGTGTGGAATGGTTTCCTCGGATCGTCTTTGACCGGCCATTCGTCTCTCATTATTTGGTTGCGCTGGCGACAATGAAGGTATCTTACGTGCATCGGGGCAAGCTCTTCTTGGGCCTCTGGTGCTTCCTGACTATGGTGAAGACGGTTATGTGCAGCTACGGGCTCCACCTTGCGCCACGTACTCGAGTTCTCTTTGTGATGTGCATCTGCGACTGGGGTGTGGAAACGTCCTTGACGTGTAGCCGTATTCGTCTCCTGAACGCATTTTTTGGAAAGTGTTGTACTGGCGACAATGAAGGTAAGTAACTTACGTGCATCGAGGCAATTTCTTCGTGGGCCTCTCGTGCTTCCTGACTATGGTGAAGACGGTTACGTGCAGCTGCGGGCTCCGCCTTGCGCCACGTGCTCGAGTTCTCTGCGCAATGTGCATCGGCGAGATCGGAGTGGAGTTAGGTGCCGCTTAAAACATTACTTGTTGCCGCGAGTCAAGCGTGAAGATCGTTTGTGCTGTTTTCGTCGATTGGTTCGTATCGTCGTTGGCCAACCTATTCTGAGCTCGCACCATGCCTTAATTGATCCTGTATCTCCTGAAGGCGTCCGCTAAGCTGTGGTTCCTGTTGCCGTTGACGAAGACGACGTTCACGCATTGAAGCAAGACGCCGTTCTCATGCCTTTGGTGTTCCTCGATTACGACTAAGGCAGCTACGCATGGCTTTAGAAATGCGCCTTGCAGCGGTACGGGCTCGGGTTCTCTGGGCGATATGCATCTGCGACTGAAGCGTGGAGGTGGACGGTCCTTTGCTGTAGGGGGTCAATGTCGGCGCCATGGTGTCGGGAGTAAAAGTAGTCGAAGAGAAGTACGACCGATGCATCGAAGAAGGCATGTTTTGAATGAGCCGTAAACGCCGGGATAGGGTATTTTGATTTGGTGGTCATATGTGATCTCGTAAATGAACCATTTTGATTTTGTTGATGAGCTAAGCAGTCGACAAACCCGTTGCGAATCTCTATGCATAGTTTAATATCAGCTAGCCTCCAATGTGGCATCCAAAAAATCAAAAAGGTAAAAAAGTTTAGTGGTTAAAGTTGTAGTTATTTTATTCAAATTAACCATGCTCAGTTATCTCTTCCTGCCAGATTTAAGCACAGAGATTGAAGCACAAAAAATTAATATATCGATAATGCTTATATAATGAAAAAACTTAAAAACACCCGCTCCGCTTAGAATTTCATGTGTGCAAAGTTTCGTTTGAATTCAACGACGTCTTTTAGCATTCTAGACCGGTCATGACGAAATTGCTATACGAAAAACGCAAAAAATCGATAAATCGATAGCGCCCCTCGGTGATTTCCGGTGAGAAAGACTACTGGCACCCGCTCCATTCCGAAGTTCATGTACGCAAAGTTTCGTTTGAATTTAGTGAAGTTTTCTAACATTTTAAGCCGGTCATAACAAAATTGCTATACGAAAAACGCAAAAAATCGATAAATCGATAGCGCCCCTCGGTATTTCCGGTGAGAAAGACTACTGGCACCCGCTCCATTCCGAAGTTCATGTACGCAAAGTTTCGTTTGAATTTAGTGAAGTTTTCTAACATTTTAAGCCGGTCATAACAAAATTGCTATACGAAAAACGCAAAAAATCGATAAATCGATAGCGCCACTAAGTGATTTTTGGTGAAAAAAGTTTAGTGACACCACCCATGTGCAAAGTTTCATCCAAATTCCTTGATTCTTTGTACCATTTCAGGCCGGTCATAAAAAAAAGCTTATCCAAATATTATATAGGTATTGATATTAACAGCATCTTCAGCTGTGGCATGATAAATTCTAAAAATTCTGGGCCGGTAGTAATCTGGCCGAAACTCCGAGTTCAAAGCTGCACGTTAATTCAGAGTTTCGCTTCGAAACTCAGAGTTAACTCCGAGTTTCGCTTCTGAAACTCGGAGTTTCGTACTGCTACTTGCGCAGCTGCTATGGTTGTTGGAGAGCTACCACACGCTTTATCGCAAAAGCACTGCGACTTAGCCGGGACTCGAACTCCTGTTGCTCGGCGCGATGTGCCTCCTACTAGACCACTAGGACACAGAGCACCCTACGAACATCGCATTTCTACCGTGTTCAGACACGTCAAGTGACATGGTGCCTCTTCGCTCTAAGCAGTGGATTCACTAAAGCACCTATACATACATACATACTCCCCCCCCCCCCCAATTGTTTTTATCCCCAGCTGCATTCCTAAATAGGATAACTAGACGTGACTGCTTTATTGACAAAACATAATTTAAGTGTCAAAATTCAGCTATCTACATGCCTCTATCATTTTGAAAATATTATACTATCGGCTGGCTGCAGTGGCGGACTGAGGGGGTGGGGGAGGGGGGGGGGGGGGAGCTGCGGAGGGGAGGGGCACCCTCCCTTCTCCCGAGAATGGGTCGCGAAATTTTAGAAATTCACTCACGTGGGTTACAAAAATGTGCAAGTAACTGTTTATTTATGTAGATAATTGATGTAATTTTCAAATTTTCTAATAATTCAAATTAGCCTTGCAAAAAAAATTTCTGAGGCTTTTTCCGAGCGCGTGGCTAACGCCACGCACCTTCATTTAAAAATTTTTTTTGCCCCCCCCCCGGACAGAAATCCTGGGACCGCCACTGGCTGGCTGATGAGTGTTATTTATTCGAATATTTTGTTCATTCGACAACTCGGAAGAATAAATTATTCGAATATTCGAATATGCGAGGAATTCAAAAAGACAACTATACAATTCAACTAAACAAATATTTGAGAAGTTTCGAAAATCCTTGTTCGAATGTTCAAATCGACTATTGCGATTGAATATTCGAATATTGCATGAGTATTCGAATAATTATTGCATTCGATAATTGATGATTCAGTTGTTAGTTTATTCGAGTACTCATTCGATCAAGTTCGGTTAATCGAATAGTCGAAAGTTTGAATTTTGGCTCATATTCGAGTAGTCAAATTCGGATGATATAAAAAGCGAAAATAAGTATTACTCGTTCATTTGGAAAATTTTTAATTCAATATTCGCTATTCATTCGTTCGATGAATTTTCAAAGATATTATTCGAAATTTGTTCATTTGATGAAAACTTGCGTTCGTTACGACTATATCACAGACTGGCAAAAAGCATAGCTCATGGTTTGGTTACGGTGAAAAAATCTCCTGTGAAAATCTGTTACATTTACATTTCTGGAGAAGAAGGTGGTTGGAACTATATATCAGTTTCTCAATGCTGATGTTGTATAAAAAGGTCATGCGAAAATGATAATGAAGTTCAAGAAGACAGACATTTGTGGCAATAAGGGTCGTTCTATAAGACCACTCAGGGTGCATGTGTTTTTGGAAAATATGGATGAGTGACTCATGGCTTTAATTTCACAGCGCACGCAGCTGCTCAGAGGTTCAAGATGGAATACGGCACTGATTTCTGGCTGCTGAAAACCACGAATTGCATTATCATGCAAAATCATTGGCATATTCATAATCATGGCATGGCAAATAACCCTACTGTACCAAGTTTCAGCCAATTTCGTGACTTTCGCCCAACTACCGTATTCGTACCGTACCTCGCGCTGTGGGCGAATGGTGGAAAATGAACATCATATTCATTATCAGCGCGCCAAAAAACCGCACTGTACCAAGTTTCAGGCAATTTCGTGATTTTCGTCTAATTACCGTATAGCTACCGTAACATCGCTAGATGGTCCCGCAGTTCAAAATGGACATCATCGTGATCATGCTTCATGAAACTCAGAGCAAAATCTACTTCGAAGGACTTTTTTCTGGACCTCTGCGTTCACGCACTATTTCTCTTTCTCTAACCAAACTCAGAGTTAACTCCGAGTTTCGCGGGCGGCTGAAACGCGCAGCAAACTTAGAGTTAACGCGCAGCTGAGCTGCGCGTTTCGTCGCGTAGCGTCTCGCGTAGAACGAATTACGCTAGGTTCCTTACTTGGCATAAAGTACGTCTTGCGGGGTATCCTGCCATATAACGCTTTCCCCAATTTGGTTTGCTTATGCAGGTGTTAATGGTCCCTGAAAGGTGCGTGTTAACTCAGAGTTAACTCTGAGTTAACTCTGAGTTTGAGCTGCGCGTTTCGACAGGTTTACTACCGGCCCTGGTTTTTCTGCTCTGCAAAAAAACCAATTCGATAGTCTCAACTCTTACAAAAAAATATGGCAGTCATTTTCACCTAGGTGAAATGTAATATGCAGGAAATGATCGCAGCATCACTTGGCATAAAACTGCAAGCAGAAGTATGAGTAGTTCTGTAATTTACAGTACTTCAGACT